TCAAGGTGCGGCGCGGCCCGGCTCTGGGCGGCGCGGGCGGCTCCCGCCTCAGGCCGCAGGGGGACGCATCCTGTGCCGATCAGGGTCCTGGGGGCTCCTCGTCGGCCCAGAAGCAGGGCCAGCCCTGGAGGAGCCCAGAGGAAGCTGGCACAGCCAGCGCCCCAGGGGTGGGATTCTGTTTCCCTCCTCACCTGGGACCCGACCCTGGCCTGCATCCTTCTCGCCCTCCGTATCACACATCTGTCTGTCTCTCTGTCTGTCTGTCTGTCTGCCCTTCTCTCTGCTTCCCTGTTCTCTCACGGGATCCTTCTTCGGTTCTTTCTGCTCTCTGGCTCTCACTTCTACCTGTTCCTCACTTGGCGCCTCTCAGCCCGCCTCCTGTTCCCCCTTTCTGGGCTGTGCTGAGGCGGCCCCACCTGCAGGCAGGGGAAGGGGACTTCCTCCGGGAATTTGCTGTCACCGCCTGTGGCCCTGCTTGCTTACCCTGCAGGGGCCTCCCCGTGCTCGATTCAGCCAGGGCGAGTAGAGCCCATCCCCAGGTCTCCAGGCCTCGCTCCATCTTTCCTAAACACCCAGGTCAAAGCCACCTCTCCGACGTGGCAACCAGAACATAGAGAATTATTTTGCCTGGGTTGCCTGCTGTCTCTGGATGCCACATTTGAGCCCCGGTCTAACTCGGAAGCATCCTTCTTCCTCTGAGAAGTGCAGCTCCTGGATTGTCTTTAGAAAGACTGTGTTTTGACCTATCCTTCCCTCCCCACTCTCCTCCCAGGCGTGGGCTCTGTTCAAAGGAAAATTCCGGGAAGGCATTGACAAGCCGGATCCTCCTACCTGGAAGACACGCCTGAGGTGTGCTTTGAACAAGAGCAACGACTTTGAGGAGCTGGTGGAGAGGAGCCAGCTGGACATCTCGGACCCATACAAAGTGTACCGCATTGTCCCAGAGGGGGCCAAGAAAGGTGGGGCTTCCCCAACCGGTCGCCGTGCGACGCTCACACAGCCTCCATTTCCTTCTGAGTGTCACTTTCTATTTTTGCAGTTTTAGAGCCCAGCAGGTTCCGTGCCCAAGTTCTGTGATTTTCAAGTTGAAAATATTGTGATTTGGGTGTAGGGTCATTTTGTGGAGTCCAGGCCTCTGTGTGTGTGTGTGTGTGTGTGTGAGCACGTGCTGTGCTTCTATTACAGTGGGGGGGGGCTGGAAGACTCAGTAAAGCTGTTTTGTCTAATAGCTGTTAGTAACTATTTTCTAGAAGGGGAAGCATACTGCATGCCCACAAAGTGTTACTACTTATAGTAATAAAATGCCAACTTTTAAGAATAGGATAGGGTACTTATTACAATTCAGATCTTTGGCCCTCTCTTTCCAAGAGTAGGGTCAGTGTGTGTGGGTCCAGGAATCTGCATTTTAAATAAATCCTGCAGTGTCTGGCTGGCTCCAGCTTTTGGCAAAGCACATTTGCACCCTGTGTTTTATTAATTCCTTACCTATCGTAAACAAGTCAGACCTGCTGACATCATTTTAATGGCGTGGAAAAATAACTACCCAAGAAAGTTGCTAGAAAATGCCTTATTTGTCAATATCATGCTATGCATTCTAAGAATTAAACCCTCAGGTATTTTTCCAAGATTTGATGTGAAATAAGTTCCTTTTTCTCACTCTGTGCCATTTCCCTCTTCCCCAAACACACAGGCGCCAAGCAGCTTGCCCTGGAGGACCCTCAGATGACCATCGGCCATGCCTACTCCATGACGACACCCTACACCCCTCTCCCAGCCCAGGTTCGGAGGGCAGCGCAGGGTCCCCACGGCGGCGTGCACCTCAGCCCTGTGTGAATGTCTGGCTTCCCTGGTGGTGCTGCTGTCCCTGGTGGCAGAATGGGGAGACTGGGTGTGTCCCGCCAGGTTCCCCAGTCCTCTGGGAACCAGACCTCTGAAGGTTTTGGAAGCAGAGCCTTGTCATGTGAAACCACAGGGCAGCTGACTGCTGTAGGCTGTCCTGGTGTGAATACAGCTCTGTTATGTCCACTTTGGTGGGGAAGAGAAGGCAGATTTCCCTGCAGTATTTTTGGGGCCAAATGCAACCATATGATGATGCTCTACACTGGGCAGTGCTTCCCAACAGTGCCCTCATTGTGCTCTCGGACCCTCTGTGGCTCTGTCCACTTGGTCCAATGAATGGTTCACGCAGGTCTTTTTAGATGATAAAATGCTTTGGCTGATGGCCAGAGAAGGGGTTCCCTGAGGATTCTGGGAGGATGTGAAAGCACCTCACTTCCCATGCTGACACTTTTCATCTCGGCTCTTCCCACATTCCTTCAGCAGGTCCATAACTACATGATGCCGCCCCACGACCGAAGCTGGAGGGAATACGTCCCTGAGCAGCCACACCCAGAAATCCCATATCAGTGCCCCATGCCATTTGGTCCCCGCAACCACCACTGGCAAGGCCCAGCTTGTGAAAATGGTAAGGAGCACTCTGGTCATGAGACAGAAGAGTGAACGGCGGGATGTGGGCTCTGGGTGTTCCTGGGGTCCCCTGGGCAGCACCACGGGCTTCCTCCTTGGGGGCGCCTAGAAAGGCCCTGGGTACAGCGAAGAGGAGACAGCTATGTGCTGTGGGGTGCTAAGTCCTCAGAGCCAGTCTGACCTTGTGTGGGTCCTTAGTTAACTACCACAGAGCATTCCAGAAAGCTAAAATTGCTCTTTAAAAAAAAAAACTAGAAGAGTTCATGGAACCTCCCAGAATGGAAGTAACAAGCCCATGTCACCCAGTAAATGGGGCTGGGCTGCCTTCCAGATCTCCTGATCCCAAACCCAGTCTTCCATGTAAGACAAGACTGCAGCATCAAAATGCTTGTCGATACACTATTTAATGTGTTAACAGTTTTCATCCTGTCTGAATAATCTTTTTTGTAATCATAAGCAAAATGGGATGGATGTTGGCAGTCTTCCCTCCTGGATTTTCCCTTAATGCTGACTGAGGGCCACAACTTCAGGAGTCTGTTTCTGGCCATCTGTCCACAAGGGGCAAATGCCAGCTGTGCCCACACCCTCCCGGGTGAGGACACCAGGAGATTATTGAGCCAGCTTCTGTCCCTGGGACAGAGGTGTGCCCGTTATAGCTGTTCTTGGTGTTGAAAGAAATGATAGGAAGGGAGTGGATAAACATCAAGGAAAAAGAAAGAAAGTGTTCCCGCTGGAGGCTGCCTAGTACTGGGTCTCAAAGACTTGCTTACCCTGGATTAGATGTGGTACGCTGCCCATGGGTCCCCTTACATCAAATGAGGCTGCACAGCAGATCTTAGGTAGATAAGTACAAAGAAGACCTTAAGAGCTGTGTTCAGTGAAGCAAACACGGGCCCTGGGGACTTTGGAGTAAGCTGCGTAGGTGGGGTGCTGATTGGATCAGCCTCTGCTATGCTCTGGGAACACCCGCGCCCTCCTAATGGGAACCTTCCCCTTCCCAGTCCTGTTCAGGGCATTCTAGCCTTCTGGTATAGAAGGATTTTATCAATATTCAGTATTTGCATTGAGTGGCATGTTAAGCAAAGAAGCTTATAATTCAGTTTTATGGGCTTTTCAGGGTGATTGGCAACAAAGGTTGATTTTCCAAATCGCAGTGGAGGAAGTAGCTCACCTCACACTAGTTCCTGGGATTCAGGCCTGTGCCCAGAGCGCAGGCTGCAGTAAACAAATTGAACAAATGGCATTGGAGTTCCAGGCAGTGCTTTGAGTTGTGTGAGAATTGCACCACAGGAGGTGCTGAGCCAGTGTTAGCCGGCCCATTTGGGCTCTGGGTGTGTTCTTTCTCTACTCATGTTTAGGGTAACGCATAGCTACAGTGCTGCCTGAGCTCCAGCTCCATTTCATCCTAACCCAGAAGTACCAAGCACAGCAGACATGGACTTTAACACACTGTTGGCTTTTGATCAGGCTTTGTGTCAGAAATCATCCCAACCTGAGCTCAGTACCCTCTTATGAAATTGCTATGTGAACAGGAGCTTATCCCCTTGTCTCTCTTTGAGCCTCAGTTTTCCCGCTTATAAATTATGGAGAGGGTTGTGAGTGGCTCCCTCCTCCTTCAGCCGACTTGGTTTCAGTTTGTCTTTGTCCTAAGAGCACGTGCCCTGCTGTCCGAAGGCAGTTGGGATGGAAGGGGTCCCAGGCTTGGCCCCACCCTCCCAGGCTCCACACTCAGACCCTCTTCCAATACCCTCTGCCTTTTATTTGCAAATGCAGGTTGCCAGGTGACAGGAACCTTTTATGCTTGTGCCCCACCCGAGTCCCAGGCTCCTGGAATCCCCATTGAGCCAAGCATAAGGTCTGCTGAAGCCTTAGCTCTCTCAGGTGAGTGCGGTGCTCCTGCTGGAAGCTCCTTTTGAGAGGCGGCCTTTGGGGAATGGTGGGGGTAGGAATGTAGACACTGGCTTTGCACCCTCCAGGGCCTGGAGTGGGCCGGAAAGGCTTGTGGTCACCACAGGAGCACCCTTAGGAAGCTTAGCCAAAGTAGCTAGCACATTTACGCCCTCCATTGATGCCCACCGAGCCTTTGGAGGATGCGACCCCCAGTCTCCTGCATCCTGGGTACCTGCGGCTGACTGCCTCACCTAGGAAGTCATCCAAATTTCCACACCTTCCAGGGCCAGTCCACCTCACCCTTAGCTTCAGGGCGCTGTTTCTGGCCCAGCTGTGACACTTGCACACCCTGAGGAGTGCACAGTGTGGTCTGTTCTGCACTTCCACGAGACTTGCAGACAACAGGGACTCAGTCGGACTCTCATTCCACTTCTGATAGAATCCCTGCACCGTGGGTGCTGAGCTGAGTGAGCAGGGCACCTCGGGACTTACTAGGCATGTGTTCCCAAGAACGCATATTTTAAATACTATTTTGATTTGTTCTTCAGTGGAATTTGAATTTATAGTAAAAATCTATAGTTTAAGCATTGGAATTCTCACCCTGCTCTGACCTCTTTAAAAACCACTGGCAGAAAATATAAGCTAAATTCTGAAGGTTTTAGGGAGTTGAGAGTTGGGCCTCTCTGTTCACCAGGAGCCGCGGTGTTACCTTCCAGGTCCTTTCTCCCGGGCCGGCTCACCAGTAGCCGAGGATCCCCGGGAAGAGGAGCTGCTTCTGAGCAGCAAGACTTGTATTTGTTTTTAGAAACTCTCAAACCCTTTCTTGAGCATCTAAGACTTGTGTGGGTGCCTAAAGAATAGGAAATAAGTGGCTATTTATATCTACAACCTTGTGATTTCTGACGACACACAATGAAATGAAACCTGCCCTGAGAGTCACCTCTGATGGCCAACGCCCACTCACGCTGGGTGAGCCTGACTGGGGCTCGCAGCAGCAGAAATGGAAGCAACCGTGGTGTGGGTTAAGTCTCAAAACCCGCCTGAGGAATGCGAGGCTTTTGTGGCTTTCTTTTTTTGCTATGCATAATGCAGATTAATTATCAGTCTTGAATGAGTTTTCAGAGCCCGATTCCTAGCCATGTTATATCCCGTCCAGGAGGCTCAGCCGCAGGTGCATTTCAGTAAGGAGCCCTTGGCCAGCGTAGCTTGTCCTTTGGTCTGTGGGTGAGACTTTAAAGAGTTTTACTGAAATCAGTAAAACTTATAAATAAATTCGTTTCAAAAAAAATTTTAGAAGGCCCAGTTTTAGAGCTATTCAAACTCAAACACAAATCTTAGTGAGATATCAGCAGGTTTTTACACAGCTGGAGGCCTATAGAGCACATCACACACACACACACACACACACATGCACTGCTTTTGGTGCTGGGCTGGGAATCCCAGGCCTCACAGATGCTAAGCAAACGCTGCACCACCAGTTACACCCCCAGCCTCAACTCCTTTCCTTACCCCAGAATTAATTTATGATAAAAACAGCACATACTCATTATAGAAAACTACTTTAAAAATCGGAAAGATGAAAGGGGAAAAAAAAGAAAAGCATCACATTCCACCATCCAAAAATCACCACTCATAGTTAAGGGTTTAGCAGTTAGCTGCTGTCTGCCTGTCACCTATCACCTATCATCTGTCATCTATCTGATGGCAAATTGATACTTTAGGGAAGTTTCGGGTGTGTGGACATACAGTACTCGCTTTTCTTCTGAAAAACCACTATGTACTTTTTTGCTAGTAAATTAAACTTAGAGTTCTCCTCCTCCAAAATCAAAACAGATTTGCTTAAAGGTGAGTTTCCATTCAGTGACAAATTACTTCCGATGTCAATAGCGTTACTGTTCTCATCACCACCCCAGAGTGACTCCTTAAATTCTTCAGCAGAGGTGCTCTCTGATTTGATGTAAACAATTTTGTAGAAAATTGATGATATACACACTTTCCTTTGTCTTCAAAAAAATGAAATCATCCCCGACCACATATGCCCTGGTCTGCTGAGTGGAATGTGTCCTTCCACAGCCTCTCAGCGGATGTGCTCAGCCCGGGGCGCTGCGGCAGAGGACAAGAGCACAGCGTCTCCAGGCCGGCAGGCGGCTACTGCCTGGGCGCTTGGGGAGGCCGCGGCCAGTCGACCTCTGGTGCTTTGCTGTGGGGACGTCCCGGGCGGCAGCGCTGACTGCAGAGCTCTGTGTTCGCAGACTGCCGGCTGCACATCTGCTTGTACTACCGGGAGATTCTGGTGAAGGAGCTGACCACGACCAGCCCTGAAGGCTGCCGGATCTCCCACGGACACACCTACGATGCCAGCAACCTGGACCCGGTCCTGTTCCCCTACCCGGAGGACAATGGACAAAGGAAGAACATCGAGAAGCTGCTGAGTCACCTGGAGAGGGGCGTGGTCCTGTGGATGGCCCCAGACGGGCTCTATGCCAAGAGACTGTGCCAGAGCCGGATCTACTGGGACGGGCCCCTGGCTCTGTGCAGCGACCGGCCCAACAAGCTGGAGAGAGACCAGATCTGCAAGCTCTTCGATACGCAGCAGTTTCTGTCAGGTACCAGCTCAGCATCTGGGGGGAGGTGGTGACAGTGGACACAGGGTCCCTCCTACCCCGGCCCTCACCCAGCAGCGGCGTCCCGCCTGGCCTGTATCCACTGTGCTGCTGTCCTCTTCCTCTCTTGTCCCGAGGCCCAGCATCCGGATGAGATAACTCCGTCTTAGTGCTCAGCTCTCTGGTTTTCAGTGGCTGCCCTGTGACATAGTCTGTTTTATTGCCAAAGGTCTCCTCAAGCTTATCTACTGAGACCAGCTCTTTTTGGGTTCCTGGAAAACTCATGGAGGTTTTAGTTACATTGCTAACCTTCTCAGCCATGCATCGCATCACCCCATGCAAGTGGGATGAGAAGAGCAGAGCCCCGAACCCATGTAGCAAAGGCAGATGAGGGGGAGGCTTCGCCTCGCCTCTACCTTGCGATTGCTTTGCATTATGTTTTCCAGAAGCAGTGTACTGTGTTGCTCTAGTTTTGATTTCAAGATAGTTTGGTTAGCCCTGGGCTGGTGTTCCTGAAGCCACCAACTGCTACGGGAGGCTTCAATAGTGTCACTGAGCTGCTAGAGGGAGAGAACGCTGCTGCCCCCGCTGCTCTGTCCCTCCTCGTTCTGTCCTGGTTCTCCCACAGCTGCCTTCTGAGCATCTTGTCTCCTGTTCACGCCCCTCCCTCTCAGGCACATAGGGATGGCGTGGGGTTTTGCCGCTCACACATGTCATGGAGAGGGTGAACTGAGCTTGCCACTTTCTATGTGGAGCACACTGCAGACGATGCTGAACAGTCCCCAAGCATAAAGTACACCATCCCCTTTAAGAGTTGAACTCATAGAAGCAGCAAGTTCAACTCTAATTACTAACTGTGGCCTTGGCCACGTGTAGTAGGTGCATGGAATTCATTCCTCCTAACTCAAAGCCTGTACCCTTTGACTTCCATCTCCCCAGCCTCCTTGCCCTACCCCCCATGACCACCAGTCTGCTCTCTGCTTATGTGAATTCAGCCCTTTGGATTCAGATACTGAGGGTGAAGGCTCTCTATTAAGATACCCCAGATAAATGAGGTCATTTGGGATTCATCTTTTGGTTCCTGGCATCTTTCACTGAAAATAATGTCATCCAGGATGATCTGTGTTGCTGCGAAGGACGTGATTTCCTTCTTTATGGCCAAGTAATGTTCTGTTGTGTGTTTAGCACATCTTCTTTATCCTTCATTAGTTGGTGGATATTTAGGTTAATTTGCTATCTTGATGACTGAACAGTGCAGACACACTGATTTCATTTCTGTTGCGTACATACCCAGAAGTGGGACTGCTGGATCACGAGCGTGCTTCATGATGTAACTCATTCAAAGTGAAAATAGGAAGCACTTATCGCTGGCACTGCCAGCATTTGATTGGCATTTTGCCTTAAGCAGCCCAAGTTTGCATAGGTTCATCCAAATTCTCCTTTGGTGCCCAAAACAAATATTCCCCAGATAAAACCCTTTCCACAGAGGTGGGATGCAGGAAGAGGTTGCCCAAGATGACTGTGGTGAAGAGGACACATGGGGCAGAGGCCCATCAGTGGAGTCAACAGAACTGTCCCGAGTCACTGCTAGGCTCTGAGTCCAGCTGGGGTCTGGAGTGGTACTGGCAGCAAGGAGCAGAGAGGAGTGGAGAGCCCTGAGGGAGGCCCTGCTGCCCCTCCTCTGCCTACCTCAGGCTCTGAGAGTGCTTTCGAGTTCTAGGAGAGGGTCCTCTCCAGGCTGGTGTTTTGCCAGAGGTCTCAGATCTCCATTTCTGTGGATTCGGAGCACAGATTAAGGCATCCCAGTGAACCCGCACTGGCTTCTCCACGTTTTTCTTGCCACGCACACTCCAGGGAGGCAGGAGTCCCCGCTGTGACAGACAGATCTGCAGGGTGCACTCAGGTAGGGACGGATGCAGCCCAGAAGCAGGTGCAGGGGGACCTGGGCACCAGGGCACGTGATCTCACTGGCCTCGCACTGCAGCTTCATCTGTGAGCAAGGGCTCTTCTCCCGTGATCTTTCGCTTTAACTGTAGCTGGGGCCTGTGCTCTGCATGCACCACAACTTCTAAGGTTACAGAGGCTCGAGGCAGGTGCTGCCAACTTCAGAGCTGCAGCTGTGCACAGGGAAGGGTCGGTCCTACCAAATGTCTTCATGTTAGCAAGTGTACAAGGCATGGCTTTTCCAGAGCCTGTGCCTGCTTGCCACTGCCAGGAGCATGTGCGGTCCCCGCGGGCCCCAGCACTGGGAGTGTGGTACACATGTCCTGACTGCATAGGTGAGGTTTGATTTGAATTCAGGAAGGAAAAAAAAAAATGCAGGAAGTCAAGTAGTCCTGTGAGTTAGCTAGAAACTCTTCAGATGCACAGGGCAGTGGAAATCTTTGCTGTCTTACCCATTCAGGATTTTCACCCTGCTGGGGACGGCCCCAGAAGCGTATCTACTGAGGATGTGGTGGCACAGCTGCTCTGGGGGAGCGCAGAAGCTCCTTTAGATGCGCACCTTCTGCAGACAGGACTCTGGGCTTGAGCTCAGTTCTCAGAACCCCTGGAGTCCGACTGAGAGGACAGGAGTCAACTCCAGGGACTGCTCTTGTGTCTTTATTACTTGTTTTCTCAAGTTACCTCTCCAGCCCTAGACATGAGTCTTTCCAGCAGTGTTCCCCTCTGCTCTGTGCCTTTCAAGCAGGAGCAGTGGCCTGGGGTAGAGGACCATGGGGCTTCCTCAATCCACAACCAAGTCCTTGTTCTGTTGGCAAGAAAATCTGCTCAGAGTCCCGCCCTCTGCGTCTTAGACCTAGAGCCAAGTGGGATGCGGCTGCTGATGGCCAGCCCCCAAGCTGCCGAGGTGTCCCTGAGCCATCTGTGTCCTTGGTAACACAGACACTATTGTGTGGCCTTTGTGGCTGGGGCATGAAGTTTTAAAATGATCCTGAGATGTGGGAACATTCTGATTTTCTTAATGAAAAACCTTCTTTGCATACGTTATTGTTTTGCCTCCAAGCAACCCCATTGCTTTTCTTTTCCTCCCTGCTTCACACCTTTCTGTGAACTTCTGCCTGCCTCAAGTGTCCCTGAGTTTGGGCCATGTTCCCCCGGTATGTGTGTGATTCGGTATCTGAAGGCCCTACTCTGGGAGAGAAAGAGTCGTCCCCTCCTCTCCCCGTGAGGGATCACAGTGCTCTTGCCTCTGAGCCAGCCTGAGTGGCTGGCTTTCTGACACGGTGGCCTTGTCTGTTTCTCAGAGCTGCAGGCCTTCGCTCACCATGGCCGGCCCCTGCCTCGCTTCCAGGTGACTCTGTGCTTCGGGGAGGAGTTTCCAGACCCTCAGAGGCAGAGGAAGCTCATCACGGCCCATGTGAGTATTCTGCTGCTGCATCACTGCCATACACGCCATCTTCCTGCTGTTTGTCAAACTTCCCTGAGAGAAGTCTCAGGTGAAATGTGAATGTCAAGTGACCTGGGAAAACAGACGTAACCCTGAGCTAGCACGGGAGCAAGCACGTGTGTGGCAGCACAGCCCAGGGACCTGCGTGCTGCTTCCAGCCCTGAGCTCACCCGGCACAGAGCCAGAGTGGTAACTCCAGCCAAGGGCTCCGCGCAGCTGTCCTTCTGATGTTTCAATGCTGAATCCCATTTACAGAGATGCAGAAAGACTGACACTAAAAGTTGCCCTTTGGAGTTCTTTGTGTCTCACGGCATTTAAATACTGCCTAGCTGGCACCTCTTCCCTGGAGAGAGAATCTCTTTCCACTTGGGATGTTAATGGTGCGCTTGTGTGTATTAGAGGTCATCTCCAGATATTGCCTAGACTTTCTTCTATTTCAGGATTTCTGGGAATTATTTAATAATTATCTGGGGGCGGCTACATCTTTCAAGGAATCCAGGTAGACCAGTCACTTCCCCTGGGCTCTTGTACTGTATAAGATTCATGCAGTTGTGCTGCATCTTTTTCATAAAGGAGAAAACAGGTTTATATAGACATCACTTAGCATTTATTTGTCATTTAAAAAAACAATTTTGATTTTGAAAATTTTGCATTACTACAAACACAGAGAATGAGCAGTCCCAGGTAAAAAGTTATACCCCATGATATCAAAATTCAGATGAGATTTTAGCTCTAGTGATATTTCTTATTGAAAATTGGAGTATGAAGGTGGCTTGGAGGTAGAACACTGGCCTGGCACGCATAAAACCTTGAGTCTTATCTTCAGTATTCTAAAAGTAAGAAAATTGAAATAAGATACTCTTTAAACTTGGACATACAGTTTACTCTTCCTAATTGTAGAAACAAAAACCAGTCAACCAGCCAACAAAAATATAATCCTAGATTTCAGCATTCTGTCCTAACTTCTCTTTAGTGACTGATACAACTGCGGATGTCTGGTCATGGGCAGAGAAGGCCATGCCCAAATAAACCCAGCCCTACCAAGCAGCATCTGGGAAGGGCGGTCACCTCCTACATGGATCCAAGGGTGAGGGTTCTGAATCAGTGCCTCTCACGGGGCAGGCAAGGAGGACTCACAGGCCAGGTGCCCCTAAGAATCGAAGTGAGGGGTCCATAAAAGAAGAAGGTACAGGTGCACACTTAGGAGTTCTGTTTTTTATTATGGATTTAATTCATCTCAGGGGCTTACAGAGGAGTTATGCAAGACATCTGTACCAAATAGCGCGAAGGCTCAATTTAACACCATTCATTGAAAGAGTTCAGCTGGTCTTTGGTGCTGTGATTCAGGAAAAGCTGAATGTAGACTTTTGGTAGTCCAAACTGATAACCAAACTAGATATGTTTGGGGCCAGTGAACTTCTCTTTTCCTCATAGCAGTTTTGTTGTCCTTGAATTCTATTCCTTTTCTTTTCCCATTTGGTTTAGAATTCTGTAGTCTGCCCGGGTGTCTTCAGTCATTGGGGTGCACTGTCACTCTATCATACTGCACTTGTGGAAAAATAAACTCATTAATTTAAATTACCCTGAAATTTGCCTGACCTTTTGATTTGATTGTTTAATCTGATAATGTTCATCCAGTCTTAGTGAAATGTAAATTTCAAGTGGTTGATGTAGAAGATCATCTTTATGTTTAGCCTCAACTGAAATCCAGAACTAAGTAGATTCTGTCCATAGGTTGCTCTGTATTCAGGACTAACAAAAAAGTGGCTCTTCGGGGGCTCTAAATAGGAAATGTCTTGGTGCACTATCGAATATAATTTTGAACTTTATTTAGAACTTAACCCCTAGAATTTGAGTTATTTCATGATGAGCTAATTACACAATGTTAAAAAGAAGACCTCAGTAACACTTCTGCTGTCCTGTTAAAGGTGGAGCCCCTGCTAGCCAGGCAGCTGTATTATTTTGCTCAACAAAACAGTGGACATTTCCTGCGGGGCTATGATTTACCTGAGCACATCAGCAGTCCCGAGGACTACCACAGATCCATCCGACACTCCTCCATCCCAGAGTGAAAACCGTCAAGACAAAAGACATTTTTAATTGTAAGTATTTCACTTTGACAAAGACGGTCAGTGGACTGCCCTCTCTCTTAGCTCCAGAGCTCACAGCAAGGATGGGTGTAGAAAATCAGCTGCCGTTGATGGAAAGATGAGCTTATTACAGAAGGAACTGTAGTCTTCAGGTCTGACAAGCAGACCATTCCACTGCTCCACAGACCACCTTTCATACCATGAAACTCACCAAGCCACATTTTTTTCATTCACTTAAATAGAAGCCAGAATATGGTTCTCTTTTAAAGACTGAGAAAACTTGTGTTTTGGCAAAAACTGAAGTATTGTATCATTTCTCAGGGAAACAAAATCTAAATTGCAGACCACACTGCACATCCAAAAGAACTATATTCGTGTTTTAGGAGCTGTAGTTCATGTGGAAATACTGCTGAGGGATAGAAGTTGAATCACCTGCCCCAGATCTCTGTGGAGTCAACCCCTGCACCCCGTTTCCTCTCCTTGGCCTGCCCTGGAAGCCAGTTGGTGAACACTGTTGTCATTTTCTTCAGCCAAAAAACCTTAGGCCCACTTTCAGATAGGAATAATTTGTTTGGTTCTTGTTTCTCATTCTGTAGAAATTATTACTAAGACTTTTTTCTTAAAGAAGAAGAAGGAAAAAAAATCAACAATCCCAGTACTAAAGACCCATTTTTAAAGCATGGTGACATTTCCCCTCCTCTGTTTGTTGTGTTGGGGTATTGGTAGTATCCATGGCAACACTAGGAGGCAGAGCTGGGGCTCAAGTTGGTGAGCCCATTGGAAGACCCAGGCAGGCTTCTGCGCGTTGTGTAACTGCACACTCAGGGGCTGTTTCTGCTTATTTTGTATATTAGATGCTTCCTCGTGCCAGTAATAGTTTGGCAGGGCCTTAAAACTACTGGACTTTTGCCAAATCTATTTTTTAATGAAATCCCAGAGATCCCCACTTGCCTGGACTCACCCGACCGCTACCCTTCCGTGTCGTAGGCAAATAGGTGTCCTGTACTGCATTATTTTTCTCCTACTACAAAATGACTGACATTACTTCCAGGCTCAGCAAAAGAGTTGATAGTTCCCAAACATGTGGCTTTCTTATACTAAGCTTTATTCTTTGATTTATTCAGCAGGCACTTAGTAAATGCCATTGTACACCTCACATTACCCAAGTTACAGCCTTTATCAAGTATAGTAAGCAGTGAAGCCCTGGAATGTCATTTTTATTTTTAAAAAAGGATCTTTAAATACTAAAATACTGCATATTGACTGTAAAAAATGTAAGCAATCTGGAAGAGAAAGAAATAAGAGGCAGCTATTTTTCTCCAACACAAATCCTCTGCCTCGAAGTGCCCACAGAGGGTTTAGCTTTGCCTGCCAGCACGCACTTACCTCACCCTTCTAGAGGCCTGCGGAGCCCTGCCACACTGCACCAGGGGTGACGCGGCTCATCCACCATGCAGCATGGGCACCTCTGGGAAGCCAACGTGTCCCATGAATACTGTAATTTATACATCTTATAGATGCAGAGTATTTGGGGGTATATTATCCTATGGGAAGGTGAAGGTAAAATTAGGAGCTGCTGTTTCCCAGGCCCCCATCCATCGTCTGGCTCACTTGAGAGTATTTAATCAAGTGCCAGCATTTCACCAAAGCTCTCCTCCAGGACCTGTCCCTCCAGACCCTCTAAGTCTTCATTATCCAAATGATGCCTGATTTTTAATGCTGTGTGATTTTTTATAAAATATTTGCTGCTTTTACAGTTAATCCACATTTTTTCTGAAAAATTCTTGTTGGTTTGGGCTATGGTCTCTGACCGCATCTTCATACCCACATATGTGGACTGTTTTAATCCTGAGGGATGTATAGGAGGTGAACAATGAAGGGTCAGGTGAAGAATCCTGACAGTGGTCTTAGGAGTTAGAAAAGGAGTCATTTCCTCATTCGTCATCTCATATGATGTGCACACTAGCATTTAGTTTGTATTAAATGGAAGATGCTGTCGAGGGTTTGAGTATTGTTATTCTCAAAAGCTCTGGGTCACAGGGGAGGAATTGTACAAGCCTCACAGAAGCATGGTCTTGGATTTTTGTTGCTCTTGGGATTTCATATGTCTAGTGAAACTCTGGGCAGTAACTGATGTCTTCTGGACCACTGGAGAGATCAGGTGACCGACTTGTTTAGAGCTGAATCCTTGAAACTCCCCATCCTAAACAGAACAGAATGGACACCTATATGGAATCCAGCTGGTCAGTGGGTTTGAGCTAGAGAGAGGTTCTGTATTGTGAGAAGGAATGTAAGCTGCAAAGGACTAGCAACACTGGTGATGTGGTCATCACCCAGGCACAGGAGGGCCATGTCCATAAGACTGAGCTCAAGGCCATAGGTGAACCTCATCTATTCCTTGGTGTCTGTTGCTGACCAGTGTGATGTGGGAATGCAGCAAAGGTCAATTATCCTGGTGTTTATTTTCACTGCTTTGGGGAACATGCCCATAAATCATAGTTGAAGTGGAAGAGAGGGGAGATGTGGAGGAGAAAACAAGAGAAAGACCAACAGGTCACTCCTCCAGTGGGCACTCCTTTTTTGCTTCAGATTCTTTGCAGTAAAAAAACCTTACAGGTCATGGGGTCCATTTCTCCCTCCTCCTCTGCCCTGTGCCCCTGTGCTGAGAGAACTGCTGGTGGGTAGAACCCTGGCTGGCCCAGTGTTTTGAGGGTCCTGCCACGTTGTTGAGACCTGGCAGAACATTCTGGAAAGTCTCCACACATCATGGATTATGATGTAAATTTCAATTTCAAAACATACTGATGTGATCATGTAATGTTTTTAGTTAGTTGATAAATAAAGGCTTTTTTTAAAAAAATTGTTACAATGTATATGAATTACTGAACACTCCTCTTGAAAGCTTTTTACTTACTTCCTTCTTCTGCTCGACTGTCTCAGTGAGGCTGCTTTGGCAGTCTACTTCCTTCCTGGTTGTTGGAAATCAGATCTCAAAGTGCTCAGTTTGTTAAACAAAAAAAGAAAAGAAAACTGCAAATGTGCTAGCTCTGGACAATTCTCAGGAAGAACACATCTTGCAGATGTCAATACATCTGGGAAGAGTTATTCATCATCTTCATTCCCTTGGAACCTGACTGCTTTTTTCTATTTGTGTTCTAAAAGTTCTAGTAGATCCCAGGACATTGTTTGTAATACCTCCTTTTATATTCAAAGCTTCTCTGATTTTGTTGTTGAAGGGTGATAGGGCTGTAGGCTAACCAGCATTGTGATCTATAACTGTGAATAGAGATTGCACACAAGATACAATCCCCAGGGTCCTTAAGTCTCCTGCTGGTCTCAGCTCTAAATTCTTCTCTGAGCAGCCACTTGAGAACTCCCTTTCCCACCTGTGTTGCTCTGTTACTTAAAGGGCGTGGTCCTCCCCAGACCCATCTACTTCCAGTCTAACGGAGACTGTCAGGGTGCCAGGCTGCAGCTGGCTGTCTAAATCCTTCAGCTGAGGGCTTCAGGGAGCTGTCAGAAAAGCTGGAGGTTGGGTCTGGCACCCCCAACTTACTAGAATGATTGTTAATTGGCTAAGTGATAATCAAGTGGAATCATGGAAAAGTACAATTACCACACTGCTTCTCAGGGCTTTTCCACTCCACACATGGATAGCTCAAGTCAGTATACATAAGCAAGATTGTTTTTTCAAATACTCTATCAACTGCTTGTATCTAAATGAGTGTTTCAAAGACATTTTGAGTCACTGGACTTGCCACTAAATCATTGTACACCTCCTTCAGATTCAGGAAGTTGAACCTTTCTTTACGGCGCAAGTGTGACTGTTTTGGATTCATTTTCCTAGAGCAGTAATTAACAAGATAGTTAAGCACATTAGTGTCCAGCAATACTCATCTGTGCAGGAAAAATACTGAATGGCACATCATCTCTTTAGAAAGACCTGTAGAGTCGGTTGTGGTATCTCAATTTTTCTAGGGTAGACTGTGCCTAAATTAACCCAGACAGACAAATATCTTCTGAATCAATGTCCACTTAGGAATTGTAAGTTGTTTGAGAACATCCTGGGTTCTTCAGTGGTCCTTACTCTCACCAGCCTGACCATGTGTAGGCAAGTGGTTCTACTTGGAATGTTCTCAAAGACACCCTGCTCCCCTCCCCTGGGCATCTTCCTCTGCAGACCACCAGCTCATCTGGCCGTCTGCTCCTCAGGAGGTCCCAGCCAGGAGTCCTCTCTTCCTGGAAGTGTTTTCTCTCTTCTCTTGTTACCTTCTGCTCAGTTCTATGAGGGATGACAGTGCTGAGGCACTGAAAGCCAATTTTCCCACTGTATTTCCTCCCCACCTGAGCCTTTGGGACCCAAGTATAAAACCAGCTGGGAATTTGAGAAAGGTAAGCTCTTTCGGACCTCCTGGCCTCCTAACCCAGGCCAGAGAAAGATGCTCAGAAGTGGGAAGAGAAGTGTTCCCCAGAAGACATGAATACTCAGACTTCAGCAGCTCCTTAAAAGGAGAATTATCTTCTGGATCCTGGAAGAGGCTTGAGGGACAGTGAAGCTGAGAACAACTTATTGGAAGGGATGTTGAGAACTCCCAAGTTATGCAGGGGCAGGGCATGGGACTGAAGGGTGACTCCATGGCTGCTGTGTGCACTGATGACTGGGAGAAGCAGTGATGGATGCCCCAGGATGGATCTGAACAGACACAGGAGAGTGGGCCACACTCCCCACAGACCAGTACACATACACACACACATGTACACACAGACACACACATGCATACATACACATACCCCAGCACTATGGGAACTAAGCCAAGCTTAGTCCCAACTCAAGGGAAGGGGAGATGTCCGAAGTAAACTCAGTTTGAGTTTCTACCACCCTAGAAGAATAAGAGTTTAGAATAAAAATTAAAGACAATATGAATTATTTTTTGAAAACTTGAGCTATCTGTCAACTTTCTGTTGCTGTAACCAAATACCTGAGACAAATCTCATGGTTTCAGAGGTTTCCATGGCTGATTGACTGGCATATTGCTTTGGGCCACTGGCCAGGGAGCACATCAGGACCAGAGGTATGATGGAGGAAGCTGGGCAGAGGAAGAGTGGGCCGGGATTCCGCAATCCCTTCAGGCCACACTCCCCACAACCTCACTTCCTCCCATTAAGCCCCACCTCTTAAAGCTACCAACACCTCCCAATAGTACCAAAACCTAGGGACCAAGCCTTTAAACATATGGACCTTTGGGGACACAAATCACAGCAGGTATGGACTTAGATGTGTACCTACTGTGTCTGTAACTCTGGTTGTAACTGCTTGTCTATTAATTTTTCCTCCCTACTATGAACTGGATTTGCCATTATACACCTAGAACAATGACACTTTCTGGCCCAGAAAAGACACCCAGTGAGTAGATGAGAATGATGGAATAGATCTTTTATGTCTAGTAGTCTCTGTCAGGGTTCTGGCTAAGTGATGGTCCATCTCTAGGATGAAATGTAAACTATTTTAAAATTTTATATTACACAAACATTTTATGGCACAGGAAAATAGTTGTTAATTTGTTACATGAAAAGGATTTTAGAACAATGTGATATATGTTTTATGAAATGATATGGAATTTGTACCTAAAGTAGTTTAAAAAGACTAGTCAACAGTATAAGTTTTGTTCCTGGGTGATGAGGTTATATGGAGATTTTTAATTTTCTTGTATTTTCTTTTACTTTTGTAAGTTTTGAAATTTCTCCCATGACCACAGATTTTGTTACTAGAAGTGGGGAAGAAGGATGAATGCAATCTTACTAAGTTGGTATGTCCCTGTTAATACTTTTTGGTGGTTTTTCTGTTTCTCAGGCTGCTCTGCGGGTCCCCACGGGTCTGGGTTCCCCTCCCTTGCAACAGCTTGTGCCGGGCCAGAGGGTCTAGGCCTCACGGGCCCTGGTCTTCCCTGCCTGGTGTCCAGGTCTACTTCTTTGCTGTATCTTTCCCCCAGGGTATCCTTGCCCTGTTGCTGTCTTTTCCCCAGGATAGTCTGCCCTCTGAGCTCTTACACTGCACCTGAACTTTCCCTGGTTTTCTAGCTGGGGCCACACTCATGTGGGACCATTCATGGCCCCTGCCCTTCCTATGTGCCCCACGTGGGCATCTCCCTCCTGCCTCACCCCTCATCCCTTTAGCCCTGGCCCACTCTGCTGCAGCCTTACTATTTCCCTATGCTAACATCAGCACTTGGAGTTTCTTGGAGTTGGGAAGGACAAGAACATGGATTCTTTTCTGTGGAAAATATACATAATATAAAATTTTCCATATTAACCACTTTTAAATGCACATTTCAGGGCATAAAGTAGAGTCCAGAACTTTTTCTTCTTCCCAGACTCGAACTCCACACTCATTAAACATCAGCTCTTTGTGTCCCTCACTCAGGCCCCGACATCTCTCTCTATTTTTGTTCAAATCCATTTGTCTACTCCAGATAATTAACATGAGTGGAATTGTGTACTATATTGTCCTTTTGTCAGTGGTTTATTTCCCGTAGCATAAGTCTTCAAGGTTCATCTGTGTTGTGCATGTCAGGGTTTCCTTCCTTTTTCAGACTGAACAGTATTTGATGGTATGAAAGACCACACTTGGTTTATCCACTCTTCCCATGATGATCTGAGTTGCTTCCATGGTTTAGTTTTTGTGACTGAAGCTGCCATATATACAGGGAGACAATGGGCCATTGAGACTCAGTTTATTTAATCACATATCTCGAAGTGGGAATTGCAGGATTGTATAACTCTACACTTCACTTTTTAAGCATTCACCATACCATCTTCCATGGTGAGTGCACCATTGTGCCTTCCCAGAAGTACAGAGGACTCCAGTTTCTCCACATCCTTAGCAATTTATGACTTTCTGAAGACCACTGACTTTTAAAAAGATATAGTAGTACCTCGATTCACAAACTCAATTCTCTCCACGATTCTAGTCACAAATGGAATTAGATGAGAACTGAATCAAATTTCCTCATAAGGTCAACATTGAACCTCACCACTGAATTTGATTGGGTTCTTGTCCAACTTGGTTTGTGACCAGAACTGCTGAAAAAATCAAGTTGGTGGACCAAGGAACCACTGTGCATCACTCAGAGTCATTGATACCCCACCCTTTCCCTGTCCCACGGCCTGTGCAGCAAGGGAGCAAGTAGTGAGACAGATGCTGCAGGAAGGGAATCTCTAGGGAGGAAGTGTCTCCATTTTCCATTTCAAAGTGAAGAAACTGAGGCACAGAAACAAAGTTATCAGCCTAACATCCAGCAACTACTAAGAGGGAAAGCCGAAACTCTAAACCAGGTCCTTCTGGTTTCACAGCTTCAGTGCTTATTTCTGATGTCACCCTGCCTTCCCCTCTGCTACTGCTAGATCGGACTGAGACGGGACAGTGCACTCCAGTCCACCACTGGCATAAAGCCTGGGCTTCCTAAGACACCTTGCTGCTCTGAAAAGAGGTGAACTCAGCGTCACCCCTGAGGGCATCGGTCCTCCACATGGGACACAGCCTGCAGGCAGAGAGCAGGATAGCTCCCCAGAGAGACCGGGAGAGGCAAACTCCAGATCTGGGGTCTGCTGAGGTCTGGTCAGCTCTCAGTGAGGTTCACTCAGAGTGAGCATGTGTTGGGTGCTGAGTGCTTCAATGTTGGACAGCTGATCTCATAACCAGAGTCAGGAACCTCAGAGTGGGCCATCAATAGATATTTATAGAATGAATACATTTTTTAAAAAATCAATTTTATTTGTGTAACCCTACCAGTAACCCT